ACATTTTAAAAAAACAGCATCTAAATCCACCCCCAAAAAAAATGACCATAAACTTTGTCTGTTTACAAGTGTGTATTTAATATTTTTGCGACTGTTACTTCTCAGTGTCCTCGTTGAAGAAGGGTTATTTTTACAGAAGATTATTGGACAGTTTTTTTTTTTTTTTTTTCATTTTAAGACTCACCCAAAATGGTCTAACATCTAAGGATAGGTTCTATATTATAAAACAGCATGAACTGATATGATGTTAAATGCCTGATAATGAAACTATAATGCTGGGGTTTTTTTATCCCCCAGCATTATGTCAGAATTGTGATTTAAAGTTTTATGTTTCTTCTGATTTTTCTTAAATTATCTATCAAATCTGTCATCTTTATTTTACATACAACTGACATGCAGTTATCAGAAATGTTTGCATTATGTTAAAGGGGAGAAAGGTGGCACGGGATCTGTTGGACCATCTGGAAAACCAGGGTATAATGGGAGGAAAGGGGCTGATGGGAAAATGGGTGCCCCTGGAGATCCTGGATCTCTGGTAAGACATGTAAACAATTATAAAAATTAAATTTAAAAAAGTCATAGATAGGTGTAAAGTAGTACTGTACATACTACCATGCAAAATGATTTCTGAATATCATGTAAAACTGAAGACTTGAGTAATGGCTACTGAAAATTCAGCTTTACCATCACCAGGATAAATTGCATTTTAAAATATATTAAAATGAAAAACAGTTATTTTAAACTGTAATAATATTTCACAATATTACTGATTGTACTGTATTTTTTATCAAATAAATGCAGCCTTGGAAAACACATAAGACTTTTTCAAAAATAAATATACAGTATATATGGATGTAGTTACTATGTGTAATAATAAACAGGTAAAATGTATTATTACCATAACTTAGTATTAACATTTAACACAGAAGCGGTGGTAAAATAGGTAGCTGACCTATGTATGTCAACATTAAAAATTGAAAAATTAATAAATAAATAAACCCTGTAATACTCAATGACATGTTATTGGACAGGTCATTATTGAACCTTCCCTTCATATGAATTTAGGATGAATTATATATACAGTAATTTACAGTCATTAATTAATTTCTTCCAAAAAAAAAAATCCTTCCCAGGGAGATAGTGTTGTTGGTCCACCAGGTGACAGGGGGTGTCCGGGGGCTGCTGGTGTGAAAGGCGTAAGAGGTCCAACTGGTGTTCCTGGCCCGAATATGATGGGGTCAGTTGGGCGACGGGGGCAACAAGGGGACCCAGGACCTCAAGGCCAGACGGGACCTCCTGGTCCTAAAGGCGTTCAAGGTAAGAGTCACAAAGCTGAGTAAGGTTTATATTCTATGATAAATTGATATCCAGCCACTATTTCAGCGCTATACAGTTATACAATTTGTTGAAAATAAACATCAGTATGGAGGATGTTGAAATCTCTTCATGATGATGAGTAATGCACACTACCATTCAAAAGTTTGAGGTCGGTAAGAATTTCTTTAAAAAAACAAATTGTTAGGCGCATGTCTCAAATTTTGTTGTTTCTGTTTTTGGTAGGTGATACACAGCCCTGTGGACCTGGCATACGTGGAGCCCCTGGTTGCAAAGGAATGCCTGGTTGTAAAGGTAAATATATATTTAAATATTTTTTGTATGAAAGAGTGAGAGCTCTCTCAGTTTGGTTGAAAAAAATGACACAACTGAAAGAATAAGAGTAGAGTACATTAAAAGTGTACATTTACCTCAAAGTCTTTGTTATATATGTTAATTATATTATCAATTGTATTATATTTTACATACTTTTGCTCATTGGGTGCCAATTTTAATTCTAGATCTATATTGATTAATTCTAGATTGATTAGTGCACTTTTGTGGTTATAACTTGGTAAATGAAATAATCAATAGATTAAAACTTGGATATTTTTATTGATGTTTCTAAAATTAATTGAAAACGATGAGATGGACATTTAGTGGTTGCAAAATATGTGCAAAAATGTGTGAATGTTAAGTCCTTTGACAGAATTTAACTTAGTTTAGAGAAATAAGATCAATTAGAGAAATAATTGTAAATTTGAAATCAATATGGTCTTAATTTCTCAACTTCCAAATGTATTCTACATATCAAGGACAAAGAGGCATAATTAATCAGACTTTATGTAGTTAATGATGTTTTGTTGCAAAATGTGTGTTGAACTAATGAAGTTAGTCTGTTTTTGACTCTTAAATTTCTTTAAATTTCTCTTTCTCTTAAACGGCAAATATATGAATTGAAAGGGACCCAATTCTTAAAGTAGAAATATCACGGCACTGATGATAGTTATCAGATACAGTATATGACCAAAACCTGCATGTTTTCTTCCAGGTGAGAAAGGTAAGCTTGGAAATCCAGGATGCAAAGGACAAAATGGACCAGATGGTCCCAAGGGAGAGATTGGAGACCCTGGTGATTGTGGGCTAACAGGACTTAAAGGTAGAGAATACAAGGTTTTGGTAACACTCCAAAAAGAAAGGAAAACTTGAAATCGCATCATATGACCCCTTTAAAAACATTTCTGTTCAACTTTATGAATATTTCTAAATCCTTGAATAAACCCTTTTTGATTCTATTCAGCATGCATTTATTAATTATTCTATATCTGCATGATATATCCACAGTATCAACTCGACTAGAGCGCATTAAGTTGGAAAGTATTACAAAAATCTAATATCCCTGCAATCTCATCCGCAGGTCCAGATGGATCTTTAGGAGATCCAGGTGACACTGGCCCAGACGGTATCAGTATTAGTGGCTTACCTGGCACACCTGGTATTCGTGGACCCCAGGGTCTGAAAGGGTCTTTTGGAGACTGTATTGCAGGGGCTCCAGGACCGATGGGGCCCTCTGGAATTCAGGGATGTCAGGGCCCTAAAGGTGTCCCTGGACCTCCTGGACCAATTGGATTGCAAGGTACCACATTGAGACATTGAGAGTTAAATAATATCTGGTAAACAACAATAGGATATAAAGAAAATAGTATTTAATGGTTATTAGGTTTTAGGATCTGAAAATATCCCAGAAAGTCCAGTAACTACTAATATAATCAATTTTAATTGACTTTTTCTGCAGGTGCATGTGGAATTCCTGGACCTCCTGGTAGAAAAGGGGAAAAAGGAATGGATGGTACACCAGGACCCCCTGGTTGCCCAGGTGGGAGACCAGAGCACTGTGACAAAGGACAAGCTGGTCCACCTGGTAAACCAGGACCACCAGGCTTCACTGGACAGAGAGGTGAGTAGAGACCACTGTATGAACAGAGGCTTGTTAAGATTATTCTCATAATAATGTCACTTTTCTGTGTTAGGGTGCCCTGGAGAGAGAGGACCACCTGGGGAGGCAGGATCTCCATGCATTGGAGCCAAAGGAGAATGTGGTAAGCCTGGTACCCCGGGCAATCAAGGACGAGCAGGCCTTCAGGGACCTTCAGGATTCATAGGGGACAGTGGAAACCCTGGAAGCCCTGGACCAAAGGGTAAAGAGTCTTTCCACAGGTCTCGATGTGCGGGTCTTCATTCAATAAATGTAACCTGTCATGTGACATTTAAACAAATCGCTAACTGTGGTTTGCAACATTTTGATTAACTGGAACATATTTACAGGTAAGATGGATGTTACCGTCAATGCTAGTTTTACAGTGTAAACACTACCATTTTGAAAGAAGTCTCTTATGCTCAAGGTCGCATTTATTTAATACAAAATACAGTAATATTGTGAAATATTATTACAATAAAAACGGTTTTCTGTTTTAATTTATTTTATTATTTTATTGAATTTATTTAGTCATTTATTCCTTTGATGCAAAGCTGTATTAGCCATTACTCCAGTCTTCAGTGTCACATACGGGGAAGTCGTGGCCTAAAGGTTAGAGAGTCGGACTTGTAACCCAAAGGTTGTGAGTTCGAGTCTCAGGTCCGGCAGGAATTGTAGGTGGGGTGAGTGAATGTACAGTGCTCTCTTCCACCTTCAATACCATGACTGAGGTGCCCTTGAGCAAGGCACCGAACCCCCAACTGCTCCCCGGGCGCCGCAGCATAACTGGCTGCCCACTGCTCCGGGTGTGTGTTCACTGCTGTGTGTGTGCACTTAGGATGGGATAAATGCAGAGCACTAATTCCTAGTATTGGTAACCATACTTGGCCACATGTCACGTCACATGATCTTTCAGAAATCATTCTAATATGCTGATTTGCTGATCAAGAAATATTTCATATTATTATCAAAGCCAAAAACAGTTGCTGAATATTTTTGAGGAAATATTTTTGGGAATTTTTTAATGAATAGAAAATTGATGCGTTCTTGCCGAATAAAAGCATTAATTTGTTAATATCAATAAATGATTATTATTATTAATAATATTAATATTAAATGCATTATTATTGTGTTAATATTAATAGTTAATTTAAAAAAATAAATAAAAAATTTGCCAAACTTTTGAGCAAAGTATACTGCATTTATGTAGACATTAGCTTCAACACTGAAATGTTTTATTTCTTTTTTTAAAGTGTGTTATATCAAATTTCCATTTAAATTTATGTTTTATACATATTTAGAAATAGATACAAAGAGGCTGTCAGTGGGTCATGTGATTCTCAGTTTTCATGTGGTATTGCAACTCAGGTTTGCCTGGATTTCCTGGCCAAGATGGCTTTCCTGGCAACATAGGGAAGACTGGCCCTTTAGGGGCTCCTGGACCGAAAGGCTTTAGGGATTTCTAAACGGAACCAAGGGCCAGAAAGGTACTTTAAAACACTGTAAAATACCATATTGTCATGCTTTAGGTCAGGCCTAATGTGATGATGGCAGTTAAATGTATTAAATATACATGTTCTTATATGTTTCCTGTATTTCACAGGATGCATTGGACCTCCGGGAGACACAATTTCAGTGCCAGTGAAAGGCCAGATAGGGCCACCTGGACCTATTGGAGAGAATGGTGTCTGTGGAGAAAGGGGTAAATCTATAACAAATCCTATATTGGTTTTTAACCTTGGGAGAAAAAAAAAACTTCACATCATGTGGTTTAATTGCAGGTAATAAAGGTGACCCAGGTCTGCCTGGACAACCTGGGTATCCGGGACATAATGGACCTCCTGGGTTTGAATGTGGCCACCGTGGACCGCCAGGCGTTCCTGGGCTGTCCGGTGAGCCTGGCGCACGTGGGCAACGTGGGCCAAAGGGAATTGTGGGATTCCCAGGGGATAATGGTGATCCAGTGAGTGGAAGGTCTTTTTTAAAATATGAATCTTATTTAATTCTTGACAAATTATTTGAATTTTGTTGTTGGTTTGATTGTCCTGACATGAGATATAGATAGTGTACATAAACAGGGCTAATGTACATGAACTGTAACTATATGTAAATCATAGTCATTAATGCTTGTTTCTTTGTAGGGTGATCCTGGATTGTCTGGTCTGCCAGGAACCCCTGGTTTCCCTGGGTTTGATGGTCCTAAAGGTAAAATACAATGCTTTGAAACCTTGCATACTCAAACCAACACGAAAGGTCAAAAGAACCCCATTTATTTGAAATAGAATAGTTTGTAACAATGTAGGAGTGTTTCGTATTATATTCAATCTGCACATTTAACTCTCCTTTGAAGTTATATTTATTGCAAAACCTCCTTGTACTGTCTTGTATAGGTGACAAAGGTAAATCTATTGGTGAGCCAGGACTTACAGGTGAGAGAGGGCCATGTGGAGACAGAGGCATGTCAGGTAATGTTCATCCTATTGTCCTCTTTCGTTCATGTACTGTAATATGTATTTCTATAATACAGAAATGCATGGGGAAAATTATAGAGCTGTAGAAACATTCTCTTTCTCCCCAATAGCTCCCCCTGGTGGCGAAGGAGACTGCGGTGACCCTGGCCCACAAGGGCCTAGGGGATGCTCTGGTCCACCTGGACCACCTGGGAACAATGGCCTGACTGGACTTCCAGGTAAAATACCCATTGTTAAAGGGGTCATATAATGTTGCTAAAAATAACATAATTTTGTGTATTTGGTATAATGAAATAAGGTTTATGCGGTTTAAAGTAAAAAAAAACGTCTCCAGATTACGCATGTAACCATGGTTCCCCGAAGGGAACGAGATGCTGCGTCGAAACGCTAAGGGAACGCCTCCAGCGTGACCACGCTCTGAATCACATGTGTAATCAGTCCAATGGATGGGCGAGACGTCACGGGCGAGGTGACGTAGCGACCTGGAAGCATAAAAGCACGTGCGGTGAAACCGGCGTCAGCTTCTAGGAGTGAAGCAAGCACTGGCAGGGATGTCGGAAGTATGGCCCTGAGACGCAGCGTCTCGTTCCCTTTTGGGGAACCATGGTTACATGCATAACCTGGAGACGTTCCCCTTCAGGAACTCGAGCTGCGTCTAAACGCTACGGGAACGAGAATGCCCACTCCGCTAGACTTGCAAATCCCTGCCTAGTGTGGAAGAGCACAACTAAGGCGAGAGAAAAGGGAGCCAGGAATGGCTAAAGTAGGCGGGGCCCGCCGTCCGAAGGCCAATTTCTGGAGGAGTGAGCCTTGACCCCCAAAGGAGAGGGGAGATCAGAGGACTCGAGGCTATGGAATAGCATCCTGATCCACCACTTAGCATAGGCTTCTCTGGCCGGAGGCCTCGGCCTCAGCGCACCATGGAGGAAACGTGTAAGAGGAGGGTGTCTTCCCACTGAATGGCCACCGAGAGAGGGGTGTGGTAGGCCGCAATGGTCTGCTCCCATATAGAGATGCCCAGGAATGTGCACTACTCTCAGCGAGAGGAGTTTCCCCTGGGACCACACAAGGATCTGGTGCGCTAGCTTGTACAAGGGGCGCAAACGCAGACCTCCCTGGTGGTTGATGTAAGAGACCACCGCTGTGTTGTCGGTGCGCACCAACACATGGTGACCTCTTA